GATCCGACATCTCTGGCATGAAGTTCTTTATGGGGTGGCTGATGAGCTCCAACACATTTCACCTGTGGCAGTCAGGTAGAACTGAAACACAAAGAGAGCCCCATAGAGGTCAGTGACCATAACATCCAGCACTGTTCAGTTGCAGCACAAATTATAGTCTGACAGCAGACATGCTTGTCTTTCAGCTACTTATGTTTGAGAGACTGATATGAAAACCATGCAGAGCTTGTAGAGCACTTAGTGTCCATTACACTCCCAGTTCTAGCAGAATAACATTTTAAATCAAAGCTCCAAGCAGCCTCAAGCGGCCCTCTCAGCTCAGCACGGCTCCGGCCTATTGGCCACCGCGTGGGTCCCAGCACTGCCTCCTGCCAGCCACCACGGACGCTCTTGTGTATTTCCCGCACCTGTCCACCAGAACGTATGCATCGATGAGTTCTGCAGCGCTCCTTGATGACTCACCAAAAATCTGGTGCAGATCGGCCGATATAGCGAGGAGATATAGCTGATGGAATAACCTAGGTGGCGCAGTAGAGCTAAATACCAATTTAATGCTGCTGGGTTCTTTAGCGGTGAATAAAGGTCATACATATCCAGTTTCGTCCCAATTGGATGTTCCGTGTGTGATTTAGAGACAATCGTATGCATATGGCGAGGGACAGCAACTCGCCATTTTTCCACGCCCACACAGTTCAGCCAGCATTGACAGAGTTCATCATCATGTCATTTTGTCAGTTGGCACAGGATTATCCCCTTATAAATAATAGAGTAAAAGTAAGATATACAGCAGAAAAAACAGCTGACTTCCTTTCGGAAGTGGGCGGTGCTAAGGTGATGTCATCAGTTGACCATCTAAATGTGATGAGGGCTGGTCTGTAGAGAGACATAGGAAGTGTGATACAGCTGTGACCTTTGTAGAAGTTATCTCACCTTGATATTTTATGGTGAATAGTCAAAGTTTGGCACTTAGCCACGCCTACATGCTTTGATGTACGAAAATTCCTGTGATAACTTTTGACCTTCAATGTCTCAAGAGTGTGCTCAGTGAGTTTGAAGTCTGTATCTCGAAAGCTGTAGGGAGGAGTTCGATCAGATGCCATGTCTATAAAAAACAGTAAATGGCAGGTTTTGATCCAAAATGGCCTACTTCCTGTTGGCTTTGGACCATGGCTCCAAGAGACTTTTTGATACATCCTGACAAGATACACATGTGTACCAAGTTTCATAATTCCAGGTTAAAGCATGTCTTGGGGCTGATCCTTTAAAATATTCTAGGGGGCGCTATAGAGAAATTAGGCCACACCCACCAAATATTGTTATAGATTCCTGTCAGGTGGCCGATATGAATCCATGCCAGTGAGTTTGGTGCAGCTCAGCTCAAAATTGTGGAATTCAGAGCCAAATGTATGGCAACGGCGTTACAATTCGCAACGCCGCCACGCCCACGTACTCCATCGAAAACAAACGGGGTTGGAATCCACAACACACCAACATGTCTTCTGTCTGTGGACACAGTTTCATGTTGATTAGGTCAAAGGAGACTTCCAGTTGAGGCAGTGCCATGTGAGTGTAACAGAGAGAAAAGCTTGTGTCTGTCTGTGTGAGTTTTGATCAAAATGATTGTAGGTGTTTATGAGAGTTTTGATCAATGTGTTTGTTTGGAGCCACCTAGTGGTGTGATTAGTGACTGCATGCAAAGGGTCCACCAGAATTCTGAGGAGCGCTGGTGGAGGTAGGCGAGAGAGACGCAGCTCTTCACTTCTTTTTTTACTTAGGGTCATATTTTTCTAGTTCAACAATTAACGAAGTACTGTAAGAATATTTAACATCTACAAATATAATTTGTAAAGTTTTTCTCGTGGTTGGGCTGGAAAAATGTGACCCTATGAGTGGGAGCTGGTGTTCCTGGCTGACCACTCAGTCACGACGCTAACCGTGTCTTTTATTTTTCAGCCTGTCGGACCACTTGCCTCCAGTCAAAGTCACATTGTGAAGAGTTTTTTTTATTCTGTATTGTACTAGGTGACCGACAACTAAACAAGAAGAGTTACATGAGGACGTGGGTCTGTGAGCTCCACAGCTGAACCATTACATTTATGATAAATGGCTCTTATAAAATTACGCGACATAGCCCCACACAGGCTGCTGTATATATTAGACAACAAAGAATCATCCAGGTATGCCTAAAAAATCTCAAACCAACAAGTTCGGACAGGACACGGGAGCCTCTGAGGCGGAAGCGAGCTCAGCTAACCTAGCTTGCTCAAATGCAACAATGGCGACTGCAGCAGATGATCTGAATGGCATCATGGAGGAATTACAATCAATGAAACAAGAACTGTTGAAGAAAATGGACGAAAAAGCTATAGAAATGCAAACGGAGCTACGCAACGCCACTGATAAACTTAATAAAACACTGGACAAACTTGAGAGTCACACGTCTGAGCTGGAAAACGGAGTGACCGCTAACGCCGACACTATTGCGGCTATAGAGTCTGACTTGTCTGGGATGACAAAAGAGCTTACCCTGCTCAGAACCCGGTGCGAGGATATGGAAGCTCGATCACGGCGTTGCAACGTTCGCATCACTGGAGTGAAAGAGGGGCGAGAGCAAGGGAAACATCCATCTGTTTATGTAGCCGGTATGCTGAAAGAAGCCCTTGGACTGGACAAGTTGCCGACTCTGGATAGAGTGCACCGGACCCTCCTACAAAGCCAGTACAAGATAATTTGCCACCAAGGGCGATTGTAGTTAAATGCCACTACTTCACGGAAAAAAGAATTACTTCTCCAAAAGGCAGCAGAGACTGGGTTGATAACAACCGCTGATGGTGACATCCGTGTCCTGCCAGACTTCACCCAAGCTGTGAGTAAACAACGCGCAGCTTTTACTGAAGTAAAGAAACTGCTTGGCAGCTGTGCTGGAGTCCGCTACGGCCTCAGGTAACCAGCAAGGTTAAGGATTACTACGGCGGATGGGCAAGAAACGACCTTCAAGGATCCAAAGCGTGTGAAGGAGTTCATTCTGAAGGAGTTACTGAGTGCTGAAGCGTCCCACTGAACATGGCTTTTCACAACGATGAGCTCGAAGAGAGCGTGTGCTGGAGTTATTAGAACTGGACGGTGCCGTTGCAAGACAATAACGAACATTAGTGCTGAACAATTGAATCTTACAGGTAATGCATGTCTTATAATACGTTTTCTTTATATAGGAAACAATCTGTAATAACTTCTAAGTTTTGGCTTTTTTTATACCTGCATTTTTTTAATGGAGCCTTGTGATGCTATATTGGGAATATGTGCTATTATTGCTGGAGAAAATACATTACTTTGATTACAGTTTATATTTGGGTTCTGGTGTGGGCTAACGTGGTAAGCATTATATTGGTTTGTGTAGTATGGAGATACACTGTGTGAACCTGAAGGAAAACGGTCTCCTTTTGAGGCTATTCTTTCTTATTTTCTTTTTTTCTTGCCGTTCTATTATTGGTGCTTTGTTAACTTTGTGTTCATTATTCCCCAATCCCCCTTGCCCTCCCTGCCCTTTTTTAACCTCCCTATTCCCCTTATGGACTACATGTTGGATGTCTCCTTTGCTGAGTCCTGCCTATGTCCTCTGCAAATGATAAGGCACTAACCAACACCACTTTGGTGTGCTGGAATGTCAGAGGATTAAACCATCCAGTCAAACATAACAAAGTATTCTCTCATCTTCATAACTTACAAAGCCACATTGTTTATTTACAAGAAACCACATTGTTTATTTACAAGAAACCAATTTGCTAAATAAAGATCAGTGTAGACTCAGCAGAGGAGGCGTTACACAATTTTTTCACTCGGATTTCAACAGTAAGAGCAGAGGAGCAGCTATCTTAATACATAAAGATGTACAATATGAAGAGTCTAAAGCAATAAGGGACAAAAATGTCAGGTATGTCATCACACAAGGCAAATTATTTAATAGGCCTGTCATTGCCAATGTTTATGCACCTAACAGGGATAATGTGGATTTCTTTAGCAATCTTTTTTCCCTCTTATCGGATCTTGAGTCACACAATTTAATACTAGCTGGGGACCTGAATTGCACTTTGAACCCAACATTGGATCATTCAAGCCCAAAGTCTATTAAGCTTAGCAACTTAGCCCATTGTATTAATATGTTTCTTGAAACATACGGAATGGTGGATCCCTGGAGATTCAAATATCCATCATCCAAGCAATTCTCTTTTTTCTCCCCAGTACACCGAACCTACTCAAGGTTCGGTGTACTGATCAAAAGTTTCCTATTGATCAGAAACTTTTGCCCATGGTCACCCAAGTAGACTATGGCAGCATTGTTATATCAGATCATTCCCCAGTTATTCTGGGGTTGGGCTTTTCTGAAGACAAATTTCCCACCTTTTCGTGGCAACTTAATCCCAGACTACTGTCTGAACAAAGGTTTGTTGACTTTATCAATTAACAAATAGATATTTTTATTGAGTTGAATGAGTCGCCTGAGATAAGTAATGTTACACTTTGGAAAAGTCTAAAAGCATTCCTGAGAGGTCAAGTGATATCTTACGTTGCTGGTGAAAATAAAAGGAGGACTAAACAGGCTTCAGAGCTTATTGAACAAATTAAAACGGTAGATCAACTACATTCAGCTACACCTTCCGATGATTTATACAGAGAAAGAATTCTACTTCAAACGGAATTTGATTCAGTCACGAATGTCAAAGCTATAGACATGTACCTGAGGTCTCGTCTCACCTATTATGAGTCTGGGGATCGTGCCAGCAAAATGTTGTCCCATCAACTTAAACAGTCAACAGCTGCGTGTTTCATTACAGCAATAAAGGATGAGTATGGTAGTATATTTACTAACCAAAATGAGATTAATGCCCAGTTTAAGTAATTTTTTGAGAATCTGTATACTTCTGAAACTGATGACACTGCCTTGATCGAAGACCTGTTCAGCAATTTGTTATTGCCCAGTTTAGATGACTCGGACAAATCTAAGTTGGAGGGCACTATTACTATATCAGAAATGACTCAGGCCATCACAAAAATGAAATCTGTAAAGGCGCCTGGCCCAGACGTGTTTCCCATAGAGTTCTTTAAAAAATTTGCACCAAAATTAGTCCCTTTACTGCTAAGAGTTTTTAGGGAGATATTGAACCAAAAGGCTCTACCTATGACTATGACACAAGCAGTTATTTCACTAATACTTAAAAAATCTAAAGACCCCATGCTCTGTGAATCATATCATCCAATTAGTTTGCTATGTTGTGATTATAAGATTTTGGCAAAGGTCCTTGCTGGTAGGCTCGAAGATGTTCTTCCCAAACTTGTTCACCCAGACCAGACAGGGTTTATAAGGGGCAGGGAGATATCCAGTAATTTGTGATGTCTCTTTAATGTAATCTATCAGTGCCATAATGTTGAACCTGAAGTAGTAATATCCCTTGATGCCCAAAAGGCATTTGATAGAATTTAATATAATTTTTTGTTTACTACACTCAAAAGATTTGGATTCGGCACCATCTTCTCCACTTGGATCACCAGCACAGCCCCACATGCGTCAGTACAAACAAATAAAGTCATGTCTAGTTTCTTTCCTCTTTCACGTCGTACTCGACAAGGATGCCCTCTTAGCCCCCTTTTGTTTGATATTGCTATTGAACCTCTGGCAATCATGATAAGGGACTCTGCTAATTTAGCTGGTGTGCAGAGAGGTGGGCACATTAACAAATTATCCCTATATGCTGATGACCTCCTTTTTCTGTCTAGACCCAGTACCACAATACATATTGCTCTTAATCTAATTGAAAAATTTGGGCAGGTATCTGGTTATAGATTAAATCTATCCAAAAGTGTTATATTCAAAATCAACAAAAAAGTGCGTCAAATGACCTTCCATAGTTTCCCCTTTACAGTCAGTAAAGATAGTTTTGATTATTTGAGCGTCTGTGTAACGTATGACTACAATTGCTTGTTTAACAAAAATTTCACTAAGGCATTGAATAAGGCTAGATTGGATATGGAGAAGTGGTCAAAACTCCCTCTGTCTCTTGTAGGAAGAATAAACCCAGTCAAGATGACAATCACACCAAGGTTGTTATACCTGTTTCAAACCATACCAGTCTTTATTCCTAAGAAGTTCTTCAAAGAATTAAACAAACATATCTGTGTTTATCTGGAATAAAAACATCCCGAGATTTAGAAAGGAATATCTGGAGAGACAGAGGGAGGATGGTGGACTATCCCTACCTAATTTTCTTTACTATTACTGGGCAACCAATATCCATAAGGTTTTGTATTGGTTTACAGATCAGTCAGATGCCGAATCTCCAGTTTGGGTCCACCTGTAACAACATTCCAGCAATCCAGTTTTGCTTAGTTCATTAATATGTAGCCCTTTACCATTGAGTAAATGTCATCAGACAAACAATCCAGTTGTTGGGGGCTCTAAGGATATGGTCCCAATTTAGGACTCACTTTCAAAGTAGAAATGCACTAACTGTATCTCCTGTGGGATGCAATGTTCAGTTCACCCAAGTGGCATGAGAGAGGCATAACTTGCATAAAGGACCTCTTTGAAAGTCAACAGCTGCGTGTTTCATTACAGCAATAAAGGAAAATTTATTTCCAAATTTATTTCTTTTGAACAGCTAAAAAGGGACTTTGGTGTACCTCGGGCTGACTTCTTCAGGTATCTCCAAGTATGTAGTTACGTGAAAGCTAATTTCTCATTAACGCTGCCTCGAGTAACGTGGATTGATGAATGTTTGGATATGAATCTGTCTGATAAGGGCTTAGTATCATCTATATATGGCAAAATTCTGAACACTGCATCCCCATCACTTAGACATCTGAAAGAATCATGGGAAGAAGAGTTAGGGGAACTATTTACTGATACAGCCTGGCAGGCCGCAATTTCAAGAATCCACTCTTCTTCAATTTGCATTAGACTTGTCCCCTAATAAACTATCTAAAATGTATCCGGAAGTAGAGTCATAAGAGAAATATTGATTGAAGTGCTCTAACTGCTCTATTTGGGGTTGTCCCTCGACAACACCAATAACGCAGCAGGCCAATGCCATAGCTTTTGCTACACTACTTGCCAGACGCTTAATATTATTTAATTGGAAGAGAGCCGCTCCTCCGTCTCATAAGCAATGGATGGAAGATGTTATGTTTCATCTGAAGCTTGAGCATCTGAAACAATCAACGACTTCATTCAACAGTACAACATCACCTGGCAGCCATTTCTTTTGTATTTTGAGACACTCTTCATGAGTATGTAGTCCGTCCTCCCCCCCACTTCCTCCCCTCTTCACTAAATGTGATGTTAGCACATGTTGTCATTTTGTTTTTGTTTAATTGTTATTACATGTCTAAAATAAATAAAAAGATGTATATAATAATAATGATTAGGTCAAAGGGGTCAGATAGCAACTGTTCACAGTAAAACATGACACTTCCTGTTCTCAGGGGGCGTGGTCTAAGTGATGTCATCACTTGACCATTGGGTACTGTAGTGCACCCGATGATGATCAATCAGTGAAAGTTTGGTGCCTCTGTGCGTTTTTGTGTAAGAGTTATAACAATTTACAGTTTCATGGCGAATAGGTGAACTTTGACCCCAGGAAACCCCCCTTTAGCAGGCACAAAAACACAAACCTGTGATAGCTTTTAATTGGCCATGCCTTATGAACGATCTGACCGAGTTTGAAGCCGATTGATCGAAATCCCTTTGATGAGTTTGATCAAATGCGAAGGCTGTAAACGGCCCGAAATGGGGTCAAAATCGGAACTTCATTCCAAAATGGCCGACTTCCTGTCATACTTGCACTATGACATTAACCTGTCATTCACAGGTTGTCATTCAACAGGGGTGTCAAACTCCAGTCCTCAAGGGCCGCTGTCCTGCAGTGTTTAGATGTGCCACAGGTAAAAAACAGTGGAATGAAATGGCTTAATTATCTCCTCCCTGTGTAGATCGGTTCTCCTGAGCCTTGCTAATGACCTAATTATTCTTTTCAGGTGTGGTGCAGCAGAGGCACATCTAAAAGTTGCAGGACAGCGGCCCTTGAGGACTGGAGTTTGACACCCCTGTCACGAGAGGACCCAAATTTGGGTCCTCTCGTGAATGACAGGTTAATTGTAAATTCTGAGCGTCTTTGGGAGCTCTACAAGTCTACCAAATTTCATGTC